TACAGATTTATAGGATTCATATTTGCCCCCCTGAGATAGACACTTCATCAAGCGACTAATAAACATGTAGAATGGAAGGACGCCTTCCTAATAGATGCCGGAACACAATGCCAGTCCTAGAATATTTCTCTGCAGCTTCAGCTGAGACTTTTGTGGAAAGGGTTCCTGGGGGCCCATGCGGAGACTAGCGACGGGCCCGGGCGCGTTCGCACGCTCCACGTGCCGAGCCCGGCGGGAAGCTGACAGCGCCAATCACAGGCTCTGAGACATGTTCCCGGTCCGCCGCTGCAGAGATCGGGAAATGTCTCGGTGCCTGTGATTGGCGCTGTCATCTTCCCGGCGGGCTCGGCACGTGGAGCGTGCAAGCGCGCCCGAGCCCGTCACTGACGTCACTCGGGGAAGTTCACGGTACAACTTCGGCTTCCGGGACCTGGACTGATGATTCGCCGCACCTCAGGTGGCTTTCGGTTGTCATCAGCTAACATTCTGCTCTATGATATATGTAGTCCGCCCCGTGCGCAGTAAGCGGCTCTTCTGTCCATCAGATGTTCTGTACGGTTGTCTTTGATAAGGCGCCCACACACCTGACGATTATCGTACGATAGTAAAGTTGCGGGAGATCCCGCGATCGTACGATAATCGGCAGGTGTATGGGCAGCGTGCAACCGCTTCTACTGTACGGTCGCACGACTTTCGTCTCACGGGCACGCTAGAAAATCTGTACGATTTTCGGCGGGTTAAGGTCCCCACACACCTTATGATAATGGCGGGAAATCCCGCGATCGTACGACTATCGTAAGGTGTGTGGAAGCCGTGCGACCTCTACTACTGTGCGGTCGCACGACTTTTAACTCACGGACACTTTCGAAAACCCGGCGAGCATGGTACGACGTTCGGCGTGTTTGTGGCATGTCCGTACGATAAAAGCCGCTGCCCGTTCGGCATTGCGGTCATCGGAAGCCCGCCCCTCAGGGGGCGTGGCTTGCAATCATCGCAAGTACGATCTGCCTGTGCAAGATAGGCAGATGGTACGTCTTTTTAAGTACCTTACAACCATCGCAAGACAGAAGTCTTGCGATGGTTGTAAGGTGTGTGCCCAGCCTTAGTAACGCGATGGCAAGGCGAAAGCCGCAAGCGCACACTGCCCGCTCAGCATTGCAATCATCGGCAAGCCCTCCCCTCAGCGGGGCGGGGCTTGTGATGATCACAAGTACCATCTGCCTGTCCAAGATGGGCGGGCCGTACGAAATTTTAATCACCTTACAACCATCGCACAACGAAAGTCGCGCGGTGGTTGTAAGGTGAATGGGCAGCTTTTGAGGGAGGAATGTGGTCAATCACCCCGTCACCCAGACCCAGAGTGACGGCCGAATGTGTAAACAGCCATCGGACACCTGCTGGGCCTCTGAGGAGGATATCTCTTCACGCACACCGTGCCAATGAGTGTCACATATCCATTCCCACCACCCTGTGCAATGCTACCAGCGTACCGTATATCACATTTCTGGGGTTTTTTCTTCACAAATCATCATGTGATTCACGTTTGTACTTTAGACCTCATTGCACCCGGTGTGAGTTCATACAACTAATACTGCACCCGAGTTCACGGCAGGGCTCAGAGTGAAGTGTGATCTGACTAGCAACAGATCACAACAGGTGGGCTAACGGACAACCGTTACCTGAAACTACAACCCGCGGGAACAGCCGAGGGCACTTCAGGAATTCTCTGGAGGTATGCTAGAAGTAACCGGCTGTAATAAACACCGTGATAGGTGAGGGGTGTAGTGTACGCTGTGATAGGTGAGGGGTGTAGTGTACGCTGTGATAGGTGAGGGGTGTAGTGTACGCTGTGATAGGTGAGGGGTGTAGTGTACGCTGTGATAGGTGAGGGGTGTAGTGTACCATGTGATAGGTGAGGGGTGTAGTGTACGCTGTGATAGGTGAGGGGTGTAGTGTACGCTGTGATAGGTGAGGGGTGTAGTGTACGCTGTGATAGGTGAGGGGTGTAGTGTACGCTGTGATAGGTGAGGGGTGTAGTGTACGCTGTGATAGGTGAGTGGTGTAGTGTACCATGTGATAGGTGAGGGGTGTAGTGTACGCTGTGATAGGGGAGGGGTGTAGTGTACGCTGTGATAGGTGAGGGGGGTAGTGTACGCTGTGATAGGTGAGGGGTGTAGTGTACGCTGTGATAGGTGAGGGGTGTAGTGTACGCTGTGATAGGTGAGGGGTGTAGTGTACGCTGTGATAGGTGAGGGGTGTAGTGTACGCTGTGATAGGTGAGGGGTGTAGTGTACGCTGTGATAGGAGAATGGTTCCATGTAACCCCAAGAGGACTGAGGGGGGTCTCCATAGTCAGTAGGAAGGAGGCTCCTCCCCCAGCCCCAGGGATGGTTCGGTCCGTCACAGAAAGGATCTCGCTTCTTCTTTGAGGATAATTCTTTCTTCTCTGTCCTCCATCTTGTCCCCGGACTTCCTTCTCTCATTCAGCGTCTTGGTATTTCATTGCCCACTAATGCCGTGTCTTCTCCCTGCAGGAGTGGTGATTTGCCGGCAGCATGATGTGCTCCTGGCTCCCCATTTCCGCTTTGTTCTTCACCCTTCTGCTTGGCTTCTGCCCCTGTGGTGCCGAGTTTGCCCCGGATCTGAAGTCTGTTGTCTCCTCAACAATAAGCTCCGAGAATCGTACTATTTATGGCATTGTATTTGATGCTGGCAGCACCGGGACACGAATCCACATCTACACCTTTCACCAGAGAGCTGGAGGTAAGCATGTGGCATGTGTAAGGGGCTCTGATAATTCATGGTGTTGGGAGCAGGGCCCTCAGCCGCCTATACCTATAGAGGAAGCTGCTCACTCCAAAATGTCATAGTAGGGTGGGACCCTCAACACACAGATACGTCATGGTGCTGGTTGTAGACCCTCAACACACAGATACACTACATTGCCAAAAGTATTGGGGCCCCTCCCCCTCCATATTATTGGATTCAGGTGTTCCGTGACATTTCCTGGCTACTAAACATTCCGCCGCGGTCGCCTGTTACTGGGATTATAAGAAAGTGGAAGCAACCGGGAACAACAGCAACTCAGCCAGGAAGTGGTCGGCCACGTCACATGACAGGGCGGGGTCAGCGCACGCTGAAGCGCACAGTGCGCAGAAGTCGCCGACTGTCTGCAGAGTCAATAGCTACAGACCTCCAAACTCCATGCGGCCGTCAGATTGGCACAACAACAGTGCGTAGAGAGCTTCATGGAATGGGTTTCCATGGCCGAGCAGCTGCATCCAAGCCGCACATCACCAAGTGCAATGCAAAGCGTGGGATGCCGCGGTGTAAAGC